TAGAAAATGTGGAAAAAAATTGGAAGTCCTTGTCAGCTAACTCAGAAGCACATCAGTAGTCACTTGAACTAAAGAATCATCATGGGGCCTGTGATGATTTCTCTAAAATTTTGATACCAGAAAGATATAAGTTTTCTCCCTTAGAAAAACCATGCTGATAAGATTTTAAACATTAATTTTAGATCACAGCTCTGCTGATTTCTTTATTTACCTGAAATCACATCCCGTGCTCTCCAACCACAGCACATGTGTATCAAGTATCTGATATGAATTTGATTTTAGTGGAAAAGCAAAACACTGATGTAGATTTGTCTAACCTAAAGGGACACACACCTCATACATGGAAAGTATATTCAAGCTGCATAATGTGACTCTCCCTTGGCATGTTCATGGCTAAAGTATTCTAAGTCTGTGGAGTGCCAAACACAACATTTCTCTTTTGTCACCTTGCCAAAGTGAAACTTGACCACTGAAGTCTAAGGACATACAACAACAAGACAAAAATAGATGAGACTTTAAGTTCACTCCAGGGAACGTTTGGGGCCACAAAAGCATGGAGAACATGATTACCTTAAAAAGTACAGTTTCCAGAAATTCTCTTAAGAATTCCTCAGCAGGCATTTGGCTAGAAGCCAACTTTCTCTTTTTCCCCCCCAAAAAAAAGAAAAAAAAAAGATTTTGGATATTTTCCTATCGACATTTTAGAGGCTAAGGCCTTGCCAAATGCCACGTTTGCATGTGGTATTTTTAATCATACCTTTTAAAATCTTCATTTGCATTCCATTTGGAGTCTCAGAATCAGTAAAATCTCAAATCTAATGGAAAGAGTTCATGTTTTTTTTTTTTTTTTACCCAATACCATGTATATATAAAATACATATATTATTTTTTTTTCATTCTAACTAGAGAAACATCACAGACTTCATGGCTTCCCTCCAAAGACTCTACCACTCAGGCTTATTGGCTCAATTCCCATTCTACTCAAACATCTCTCCAGTTTGCTTTTCTTTGTCTTTTTCACATTTTAACTACACTGATTGTTTAGTACTGATGCTTTGGCACTTCCCTCTGAGTGAGTCAGATTAAAAAGCAGCCTTAATAATCACTAAGTGATACTGGAAAAAATGACTTGCTCCGTCATACACTTCACTTCCACAAACCCGCAGCCCCCTCTACAAATCTGGATTTGCACTTGAGTCTGTTCAAGTTCTTCTGTACAGTGAAAGGCCAATTCAAGACCCTCTATGCTCTTGGCCAAAGCTTCTGTCTATAAATGCTTAGCACCTCATACTGGCTCCAGAAAACTCATTTCCAAAGTAGTAACAAATACTAAATGGCCTATTTAGAAAGTCCCATAAAATCTGAAACAGAAAGGGGAGAGTCCGGACTGGCAGATTCAGGGTTGCAGGCCATCAGGTAGGAAACTGCCGTTTCCGCCAAGGCCCCCTCTACCTACCTGAGACAGGTGGGCTGCCACGCACCCGCTGTTTCCCCTGATTGGAAACGATGGCGACCTTGTTGGTGAAGACCACCCAACCTAACTTGTGGACATTGCCTTTGCAGCCGCTCCTCACGTGCAGCTTAGGGACTGTGGAGGTGCACGGGGCTCACAGTGGCAGAGGTCACCCTGGCGTTTCCCTCGAGAAAATACTCTCCATGTCACCCACCTCTCCTGGAACTCAACCCACTCTGAAGAAAGAAATGACTTCTTAGCTATGTAGGGGGCCTGGTTTTAAAACAAGTTGCCGAGTGTGCTCTTGTCCCCTGCCAGACATTGGCACTCTGCATGTTTAAATATTTGCTTGGATGCATTTCTCCTGGAGCCCTTGTTCTTAGCACAAATAAGAGGAGCTCAGAATATGCCCAGGGCCTCACTTTCCTGGAGGACGGTCCAGACTCTGGAGCCAGAGCGGTTATAAATTGTGTGACGTTGGGAAAGACACTCCATACCATCCATGTTCCTCATTTCCTCATCTGTAAAATGGAATAATACAGGGGCCTCACAGAATATGTATAGGTATCAAATGGTTTTATACATGTGAACTATTTAGAAAAATGTCTGTCAAATACACATCCCTAGTTCTATCCAAGTTGTTTCATTTTCATTTGAAAGAATTATTATGGCCAGCTGAAGGTATGGAGAGCAGAGTGGTAGAATAAAATGTCATTTGGTGCATAATAGCAGCTAAGAGGAAAAGGAAAAAAGTACTAGTCTGCCTGTATGCAAGGGCAATCCTGATGTCTCCCTGACCAGTTTAATCAAATATTGATTTTCCACCTCCCTGTTCTGTATCCTAAATTCCGGGGGTGTCTCCCTTCCTTTTTTCCCCACAGCCAAGACTCTTGGACAAATGACAGTGCTAACGGGCATAGCCCTCCTGGCTCCCTGCACTAGTTGATGAATCTTCTGGAAACCAGTCCCACCACCCTCAAGTATGAAATAGTTCTGGTGAAAAGTAACAAGAACCCAGTAAAACTACTGGAACTAGGAACGGTGACGTGAATAAGAAAGAACACAGATCCAGGAGCAGTGGCACATGCCTATGATCCTAATCCTTGCAACTCAGGAGGCTGAGACTGGAGGATGATGGGTTCAAAGCCAGTCTCAGCAATGGCGAGGCACTAAGGAACTCAGTGAGACCCTGTCTCTAAATAAAATACGAAATAGTGCAGGGTGTGGCTCTGTGGTGGAGGGCCTCTGAGTTCAACCCCAGTACCCCCAAAAAATAAATAAAAGAAAGAAAGAACACAGAGAGAAAACTGACAAGACTAGATAATTGATTGACATGTAAACAGGAAGAAAGAGGGAGAGGTCCAAGGACAGAATCGAGGTTCTGAGCTTGCGGTGACCGTGTTTAATCTGTGGATGACATGTCTACACTCAAGGCTACTTGATGAATACTACACTCAGAGCCACAAAGCAAGACTGCTCTCTTGGCTCCTGAGCTCATAATCATCTGCCTGCTGGGCATTTCCACGGAGAGCCTCATAGCAATATGCACTCAACAGACCCAAGCCACCCTTGTCTCCTGGCATGGCCACTCTTCTAATGCCCTGACTGGCCACTCACTTGACTGCTTAAGGCACAAACCTGAACACCATCTTTGTCCCCTCCCTCTTCCTCCCCACCTCTGTCCAACTGAGAAGCACCACTGCTAACAGCCCAAGGCCATGCGTGCACCTCCAACCTCGCTGCCAACCATCTGCCCAGAGCCATAGCTCAGTGCTGAACTGCCAAGGCCACGATGCCCCGGCCTCTACCTGGCCTTGGCTCTGTTTAGGTAGAAGGCTGCTGAGGACACAGACGCGGTGAAGTGAACAGCTTGCTGAAAATGGCTTCTCAGCATAAGAAGCGACACTTGTGACCGACTTCAGAAGCTCCCTGCTCAGACCCAGGTGGATTCTCCAGGGTCTGGTCTCACTTCTCTCCTCCCAGAGCCCACACACTGCTCTTTTTTTTTTATTTTATTGGTTGTTCAAAACATTACAAAGCTCTTGACATATCATATTTCATACATTAGATTCAAGTGGGTTATGAACTCCCATTTTTACCCCAAATACAGACTGCAGAATCACATCGGTTACACATCCACATTTTTACATAATGCCCTATTAGTAACTGTTGTATTCTGCTACCTTTCCTATCCTCTACTATCCCCCCTCCCTCCCCTCCCATCTTCTCTCACTACCCCATCTACTGTAATTCATTTCTCTCCTTGTTTTTTTTTCCTATTCCCCTCACAACCTCTTATATGTAATTTTGTATAACAATGAGGGTCTCCTTCCATTTCCATGCAATTTCCCTTTTCTCTCCCTTTCCCTCCCACCTCATGTCTCTGTTTAATGTTAATCTTTTCCTCCTGCTCTTTCTTCCATGCCTCAGAGTGCACATTCCCCACCTCAGGGCATTTGCACGTACTTTTCTTTCTTCTTGGAACATGGCCTTCAGACCACTGAACTGTGTCTAACTAATGTTAAGTGAACCTTCAGGTCACAACTTCACAACACTTCCATAGTGATTCCTTTACACAGTCCAGTTTAGGTTCCAGTCCAGTGTTTTCTTAAAGTATTCTGTTTCTTTTTCTTATCATACGTTCATCATAATTTATTGAAATGCCTTTTACTAATTGGATATCTCAGTAGACAGTGTGTTTGTTTTGAGAGCTAGATTTCCAAGTTGAATTTCCAGTGCATGGCAGACCACAAGGCCTAGGAGAAGAGAGGATTGAAGAGGGACTGATGTAAACGTACAATGTTGCAGGGCCATGATGTGGTGGAGGGGGGAGGGCGAGGCAGAGGGAGTCCAGGGAGAGGGCTTTGAGAAAAACTGCATCATATCTAGCCCAGGAGGGAAGACAGGGAAGGTGGGGGTGGGGGGAGAATGAACAAGAAGATTCAGAAAAGTAACCAAAGAAGAAGCAAGTTTTAAGAGAGGCTGGAAATAACAATGGTTTGTGCTCACTCTTATATCCCCAATCTCCCGAAAGAACCTAACACAGAGCAGATCCTAAATGAATATTCATCAAATTAATAGCAAGGGTTAAAGTCTTCTGGAAATTACCAACAGGAAATGTATAAATCCAATGTGACACCTTCCTGCTAACTAAATAGTCATGATGAAATAACTAGTGAATATAAGTGAATATAGCCCAGCTCTCCACATTGTAAAAACAAACAGTGCTTTTTCTTTCTTTTTTTTCCCCCATTGGTCCTGGGAATTGAACTGGGGGGCTGAAGGTTGGGAAGTGGCAAGAGGGCTCCACCCCTGAGCAACATCTCTCTGACATACATTTATTTATTTACTTGCTTTTTTGTTTATTTTTGTTTTGAGACAGAATCTTACTAAATGCTGAGGCTGGCTTTGAACTTGTGATCCTCCTGCCTCAGTCTCCTGAGCCACTGGGATCACAGGTGTGTGCCAGCATGTCAGGTAAACATTTTGATTTTTAATAAGCTATGTTGCTACAGAGGTGGAAAAATGAAAAGGAAAACAATTGAACTAGGTAAAGTGATGTGTTTATTCTATAACTGAAGTTTTTGTATCCCACTCCTAGTGTTTCACTGCAAAACAAGATTTACAGCTGAATATGAATACACTTCTACTTTCTCTCAAATTAAGAAATAACATAAATATACAGAGGGACTCAATTTTGTTAATGTATTGCTCCATTGCAACTGAGAATATGGCTGAAAAAACATGTCACTGACACCTCTGAAGTCACTTGTTCCTGTCTACCGAAGGGCACACATAGATAAGTACGTTGTTTTTTCTTTGCATAACAAACGGACTATTTTCCTTTTCACCTGATCCTAACAGCTGGATCCTCCCCTGGAGCCTAGAACTCTGCTAATGGAAGTTCCTTCACTTGACAAGCTCTTCATTCAAAGAAGAAGTGATGCAGGTCAATGGATTCTCGGCAAGTCATATTCCATCAGGTAATAAAGGTTGGACAGTAAGCTTGTGTGTCTCCAGCATAGCTCCTGAGCCAAAGGCTTCTCCACTTGCACATTTTGGAAAACTTGACCTTTTTTATCCCTCTTAGTAAAAAAGGGTTCTTTTCTCCTCTCAAAATCAAACCACCCAAATCCCCCAAACACTTGGCACAATAATGTGACCATTTATTCTTTCATCAAATTTCTTTCTCTTTTTTAAGTTTCACTTTGAGACAGGGTCTCACTGAGTTGCCCAGGCTGGACTCCAGCTTGCAATCCTCCTGCCTCAGGCTCCCAGGAACCGGGGATGACAGGTGTGTGTGCCCATGTGCCTGTGAATGCTGATCAGTGAACACGGTGACAGCTGATGGATGTGATGGAATCACAGTGAGAGGAAACCTCCGTGGTCCTGCCAGGGTCATGAATCTAGAGAGCAGCACAGTGTCCAGAAGGGGCCTGTGAGAGAGGACAGCTCAGCACTGCGGGGTGAAAGGAAAGCTGCGAAGGTCCCTCAGTGAGAAGGCTTGATCCAGAGCTGCCCGTGGTCAGTCAGGGCAGGGACAGAAAGTCACACTCAGGATGCGCAGGGCGACGTCTACCTCCACAGTGGAGTCCTGACCTGAGCCCAAGTCCTGCCCCAGACCCTGCTGTCCATGGGGTCTCTGCACCTCATCCTCGTGGGCCTGGGATTGCACATCAGTGAACAGAACCCCAGAGGAACAGAGGATCAGAGCATCAACGGCAGGTGAGAAAACGGGCGCTTTCCCCGAGGCCCATCTTCCTCCCCAGAGCAGTCCTGACTCTCCTGCTGAAGCCAACTCATGCCTAGGTGCCTCGCAAGGGCGCCAGACAGGGCCATGCGAGTCAGAATCCATGCCACCAACACAGGGGAGGACCTTTTCTCTTGTGGCTTTGAGGCTTTTAATAACCCACAGTTTGTAAATATCATGATTTTAAGATTCCCTGTGTCCTGGCCAGTCCTGTTGGCCAAGACAGTGTTCCTATCACTGTGCGGTATTGGTCACTGTCCCCCGTGAGCCTGCAGGTTTTGAGTATTTCTCCAGTGACTCCTCAGCACTACTGCCTGCTCTCCATCCCTGAAATCAAGACCCACGTTCCAGAGCCTCTCAAGGGCACGCAGGCCTTGACTGACCACCTTGTTGACTGACCAAGCCCTTTCTCTGATGACCCTGCCAAGATGGACATGCTTTGATGGCTCTCCTCCCTTTCCTTCCCCTGTCCTGTGTGTTATTGCTTTCACTGCTTCATGCGTGTGACCACTCCATGTGCTCAAATCCCAAAGAACAGAGACACATTTGGACTCCCTGCAGTGCCTGTCACAGTGCTGAGAGTGGAGATCTGAACCATATTCATTGTGGCTGATTGACTTGAACTTCACCACAGGTGGGGAAAAGCAGCATGCAGCCAGTTACCATCCGGACACTGAATTTAGTGAAAAGGGCTTGAAACAACACATAGGAGTGAACTCATACCCCTAAATATGTGTCCCAGGATTTGCAAAATTATTTGTTTACAGTCTCGACTGTAGTAAATTAAAATTTGTATGCAGTGAATATGGGTATATTTACCTGTTAGAGTTTGTAAACAAGTCAGAATGGCGCCTGGCATTTTGCAGAGGGAATGGTTTGTGAAGTAACGCCAGTGAGCCATTAAGTGTGGAGATTTCTTATTGGTTGACTGCTGTATCTAGTTTATGTTAATTAGATAAGCTGTGTGGAATGTATAAATACCCCTCCTGTCCTACAATAAACGGCTCCCACTCCTGCTGTATCAATCTATACAAGTTCCTCGTCACCCCCAGGTTATTTTGCTGCAGCCGGACTGCGGCATTTACCCATTGAACTGCAGCCCATGCCTCACCATGCAAGGCACTTTGAGCTTTGTGACTTCAGTGGGAGGAACTGGAGTTAAATGCGCCTGGACTCTCCCTTGGCAGACTGACCTGTCCTCCCAGGCCGTGGGCTCCATGAGGACAGTACCTGTTCACTGGGGCACTTAGATGCAATAGGTTGATGAAGCAGTTCATGAATCTTCTAAATATATGAGAAACAATGACTTCACCACGGGGTCACACTGAGGTGGTCATAATAAAGAATAGCTAACATGCAGCCTAGGTGCCAAGTTCCCTGCTCAGAATTTTATAGTCACCACATAATTCTGTCCCCCTTAGGAGCCTGTGAGGGGGACATCATCATCCCTATTTGGGAGATGAAGTGAACTGGCCAGCTGAGGTCACAGAGTCAGTAACTGTGAATGTGCCACATGAACCCGGCTGAGACTCAGACATCTGAAGCACTGAGGGAAGAAGGAGAGAGGCAGTGATTCCTGGGGCCCAGGGTAATTCCTGGGGCTGGAGCTGAGGCTACAAAGGGAGGACCAGGGAGGAGCGAGAGGTTTCAGAAGGTAAGACCTGATTAACAGAACAGGTTAACAGAGAGGAACCAAAGGAAAGGTCTGGCAGGAGGGAGAGAGGGGCGACTTTAGGAATTTGGGGTTCTATGTTCCAAGGGAAAATCCATCTAGGGAATTTGAGTGTGTGGAACTCAGTGTGAGAGGCAGGAGAAGTCTACAGAGGAAGACTTCAGGAGTGTGAACTTTGGAACTACTTCTCAGAGATCCATGCTGGGGCCTATGAGCAAAGGAAAGATAAACAGACAAGAACATAAAAACAAGAAGCAGCGTGCATTCATATGTGCGTGTACATGCGTGTGCACAAAACACACACACACACACACACACACACACCATTCATTCCCTGAGGGCTTGTGTCACATAGTTATGTTTCAGTGTGAATCTTAATCAAGTTCGATTTTCCTCTGAGAGTTACTTTTCCCTGTTTCCGTGTTCTAGTTTAAGACTCGGTCTTCTTTTATGAAAAACCATATTCATACCAACATGAAAGTTCTTGTTTTCCATATAGCAGGAAAATTAGAAAACAATAGAATTGTAAGAAACACTTTCATTGTTAGGACTGCTAAATCGTACACTGCCCATCAGTCCATCTACGGAGTAGCAGAATGTCACAGAGAAGTAGATCATTTGCATTTGAATATATAAGCAGCACATCCTGTAAAAAAAGATTCCATTTAGCAGGGATGCATGACCCTGGTATTTTGCAGGGCCAAATTGGTCTTTAACCGGCACTGCTAGCTTAGGCTTCTGTTCTAGGTAACTCACTTGCTGGGAAAATAACACTGTCTACAGAGTCAAGGCTATTTAATAAATAACAGTAGAGGAGGATTTTTCATACTTGGGCTTAATGTCTTTGGGCAAATTATCTTCACTTGTGACTCACTTTCCTCATTCAGAAATGGGGAGAATAAAGAGTTTGCTTCCAGAACTGTGGGGGGTAGTAAGTATGCTCCTCTGCTTCCAAGATCAGAAGCGAGGAGGTGCCAAGTGGATCTTGTGCTGCTGCTTCTATTATTCGTGGAACATTTGGCTACTAATCCTGGTCACAAATTTCCTATGGACAAATCAGCACTCATGATCAGACTGATGCACAGCTGCTTCTGCCACACAAAACACGACAGAGTGCTTCAGGAATTTTTATTACCAAAGACGTTTCTTTGTTTTGCGGTGTGGGAATGCAAGTTCTGGAGAAAGTGACTGCGCAGGACCTTCCCTCCCATCTCTCTTTGCCCTCCTTCTTCTTGTGAATCATGACTCCTCAAGCCCATGACCCCACACCCAATCCTCACCAAGGACAGAAAATGTGAACATAGATGGTAATACAAACTCACCAATCTCACTGTTCAACAGGCAATTTGTCTATAATAACAAGTCTCAACTGTTCAAAAATACTGTTAAAATTCAGCATAATTTTCTTTAAAAATTGGCTAGTATTAGTCAATTGAAGTTTCATTTCTTTTTTTTTCCCTAAATACACACTCGTAATAGTAGGCTTTATCCCTCCTGCTAGCGACTTAAAAGAATTTCAGTTGCATTTAGTATTTAGAGGTTAAGTGAGTACAAAGACACTAATACTAAAAGGACAGAGGAAGCCACCTGCAGCTCTCTGCAGCAGCCAGCAAGCCCTTCCTCAGGGAGGGGAAGGCACGGGCACCTCAGGAGCCCAAGGGGCACTGCTTGGATGTTTTGCTCACGGCAGGGCACAAGAGCATCCCAGGCAAGCAAGAATCCCCTAGGAGGCAGTCTGAGGCCTGTGTGAAAACCCCTGATTCAACCCAGCTGCAGGGCGCCTGGCTTACACTTCACTTGTTACACTTAATCTTTGCCTCAATAAGGAGATGAAATATTTTGTTTCTCTTTGGTGAAAGGAATAAAATCTGTAAAATAAGCAGTTAAAATACCATCTTGGGTGTCTGTGTGAAAGCCTCATGTATGCAAATACAGCTGAAATGGTACATGTATCTCATTTAGATAGATGCTAGTGGACATACTAGTAAAAGAATTATTATTAAAATTTCATCTACCCCTTCATTTTGTCATTATTATTTAAAGGGTCAAAGCTGTCTATGTAATGTCTGGATTAAGATACCAATCTGTACCAGCTCTTATTTCATAAGACTCTTTGCTCTGTAGAAATCTGTGTCAACTTAAGTGAACAAATGACAATTTTCTTATGGATCACGAAAATGTACATCTGCTTAAATTTACCATCTATAATAGCTTTTTCAGACACATTTGTTCTCTAGAAACAAATTTGGCATTTGACTCTGATCTCCTGTGACCCCTGAGATGGTCTTAATGCTTCCTTTTGTTTAAGGTTCTCAGAAACACAGACTTAATTAGATCTAAGCACACAGTGATTGATTTCATTCATGCAGAACTTGCTCTATATTGTACTGTGCATAATGTTATATGGCACGTTCACTTTTATTTTGTGCATTTATAATTGCTATGTTTTGTATGAAAAGAGGTAATTTGAGCTGTTGAAGGAGCTATGGTGATATTATAAAATAGAACAGCAGATAGTCACACCATCAAGGAATGTCATTTTTCACATTTTTAAACTCAGAAATACACAAAGATGGCTCTTGACCCACAAATCACAAAACAGGAACAACAATACTTAGACTTACTTGTGGAGCAGAGTATTCTTACTACGATGGTCTTCAGCATGTGTACAAGACTTCTTTGTTTATTCCTGCAGCTAGGAGGGAAATAAAAGCCTTTGGATTGTTTAAGTAAATACCAAGCTGTTACACATTAGTTCAAGTAACTGTATGAGATAAATATTGATTCAGACATGTAATAAATCTATGAAGATGACTTCTCCGCGCTTACTTTGAAGAGAAATTCCCCAGCAGGGCAAGGATGTCATTTCCTTGATGGCAAATGCGGTTTTAAGACTTGTCAAGGAGGAAGCATGTCTTGCTTAGGCACCTCTGCTCTTCTCCAGCTGAGGAATGCAAGCCAGGGTGCACTATTATTGTTAGACTACAAAGAAGAGACCACCCCAGTGGCTCGTGTGAACACTGTCACAGCTGCTCCTCTTCCCTTTGAAATCGTTCAGGGTGATGCATGAAGATGGGGCTGCTTTTATCAGCCTCCCACTCAGGGTATGTTCAGCCCACTGAGGAAAATACTTGTGATATACTGCTGACAGAAAACAAAACACGGCCCACACTGCGGGCTGCTGCCAATCAAGGCCTGCAGCTGTGATGGGGAGCATCCGCTGACTCCACAGGCTTGTCACAAGGACCTGTGCTTCACTTATCAGTGATCACCGATCTCCATTGTCCCTGAGCAAGGGGAGCCCCTAAAAACCCCTGGATCACCAATGCTGACATGCATACATGGATGGATGGATGGATAGACAGACAGATAGGCAGAGAGAAAGACAGGATGAATGAATATATGTATATATTCCTTTCCACAAAGCACATCTTTGCTCCCATTAGATTGAATCTAATGATTAGCAGAGGGAAAAAAGTTTGAGCTGCCAACTCCATATCACCCCATTGGAATAGCATCACACAAGTCCAGACTCCTACTCTTTCCCCCGAGCTACCAGGGTGGCCAACCTGCCTCTATGGCCCCTCCAGGGAGTTTCTACTGTGCTACTCACCCTTCCCCAGGGACTCCAGCCATGTGTGGCTTTCCCCGGTAACCCTCACCAGACAGCTGCCGCAGCCTCCTGTGCCTGGTCTGCACACCCCTTCTCTCATGTACCTGGCTTCTCCTTGATCTTCAAGGTTGAGTCACTTTCTATGGTCAAATCTTTATTAAATGCTGTCATGGCATTAGTGAGTCTTCTTCCATTGCACTTACTAATGTGTCAATAAAAAATGATCAACTCTAATTTTCTATGTTAGCAATTCTATCACTGTTTATCATATCAATGAGCACAGGGTATTGAAGTTATGTGTCTCCCATCCCAAATTGCCAAAACATCATGACTTAGGACCTACTGTGAGCACCATGCCAAGCTCTGGGTGTGTGCTGAAGACCAAAACTGCCTCAGTCCTGACCCGCTCTTGTAAATTTTTTGTGGTACTGGGGATGGAACCCACCAGGGCTTTGCGCATGCTAGGAGAGTGCTCTCCACTGAGCTCTAACCTTGATCTCATGACCTTCCTACCTTGGCTCCCCAGGTAGCCGGAGTTACAGATGTGCTCTTTTGATGCTTATAGTTTAAAGAAAAAAAATGACATTAAATAAGTTTCAAGTTACAAATCTAATAGGTGTGGGACAATGTCAGGGGAACGGGGTGTGGAGGTTGAGGCTGGTGAGGTCAAAGCCAGGAGGGGAGTGAGGAGGAAGAGCAAGGGTCAAGGGTTGGGGCCCACAGGAAGGGAGAAGAAAACCTAGTTAAGGCAACAGCACCTGCATGGGCTTGGAGAAATACCCTTGAGCAAAGTGTGGAAGAAAGAACTGTGGAAAAGAGTAAATGCTGGGCTTTGTGAGCTTTTCAATGAAGTGTGGACCTGACCCTGAGGGTTCTAGAGAGCCAATGCTGTACACTGGCAGGTTCCCAGCGCTCAAAACGGTCTTCACAAATCACTGACACCATAGATCTGCATCATGAATGAAAGGCACTGAGTAGAGAAGATGCTACTTTAATATTTTAAAGCATTAGGTAAGTGCCAGGTGCGGGGGCGCACACCTATGATCCCAGCGGCTCAGAAGGCTGAGGCAGGAGGATCGTGAGTTCAGAGCCAGCCTCAGGAACAGCCAAGCGCTTCTCAACTTGGTGAGACCTCTCTCTAAAAAAATACAACATAGGGCAGGGGGTGTGGCTCGGTGGTCCAGTGCCCCTGAGTTCAATCCCAGGTACCCAAAAAATAAAAAAAGCCTTCGATGAAAACTTTAGTAAACTCAGAATTCCCATGTTCAGGTCCCTCTCATTATTTCAAAGTCATCTATTTGGGAAAACTTAGACCAAGTAACACAAGATCCACATTTCTATTCAATTATATTTTATAATCTATAAAAAGAAAACTCATCCAAAGTACACATTCATGAATAATGAATAATTTAGAAAGTCTAGAACAGATTTTTACATGTTGATATGTGTTTGAGTGTATACATATAATATTCCATTTGAAATAACGCAACGATGTAGGTTATCAAACTCAGACAAAAATATCAACATATTTAACAGCAGCAATATGTTAATGGGTCTGACTTAATATATATATTATTAAATATCTTTTAATGGCGCTTATGAATTTGTATATATCTTATTAAATATCTTATTAAGAAGCTCATTACTTTGAATATATCTTATTAAGTATCTTTCATTTCTCAGTTTCATTAATATTCAGCCTTATATTCTTAATATTTTCTTTCATTCAATTTCAAGTGCTTGAGTTAGATGTTCCCTGCCTTGAGTCTGAGTGCTGACAAGCCCATAGATGCCTTGCAACTCCAGACCAAGGCAGCCGAAAGCACAGAGGGAGATTCTGAAAGGAAATACATTCATTGCTCTTTTTTTCTTGATATGATGAATTTACTTACTGCCTTTTAAAAAAAGAGGCTAATTAGCTTTTTAAAAGCTGCTGGAAATAAATTATAAGGAATATACTAATAGATGATACATATTCAGATGTACAGGACAATAATCTTCTCGGAGTTCAAACTGTCACTGTGGAACTGAAGGTTTCCACACACTTCCTCAGGTATGGGGAACTAGAAAGACATTCCTCCTGGCTTCACAGCAAAGCAAGCTAGACAAGTCACAAGTTCAAGACTTTTTTGAATCTATCAGAGCGCTGTGGTCACAGGGCTACCATGAAGCCCAAAATCCAGGGAGAAAAACACAACTGCAGAGAAGCCAGCACTTATCCTTGGGGCAGAGACCACAGGGATGGGGGAGATACAGACTGGAGGAGGAAGAGCAGAGTGGAGCCCCGGGGGCCTCGGATAAAAGGGAGGCGGAGGGTTCGCATCCTCCATCTGACCTTCTCTACTGACCCCGCGGGCTTCATCTATGTCTTCATTGGTTAAACAGCAACAGTCCTGGCTGGGAAGCACTGGGAATGAGTTTCTTCCTCAGACTCTTCCCCACCCACACCCCATGGAAAAGCCTTAAGGGGGAAGGGGGAAGAAAACACTACTGCCCCAGGGAACCATCAAATAGGGGGCAGCCCACAGCAAGGGAGTGGGCAGGACCGCCAAGACCACCCACCCCCAAGAGCAAACGGTACAATGTTGGCTTACTGGGAAAGAAGCCCCCACCCTCTCCACCACCCCACTGAGGAGAGGTTTGAGGAAAGAAGTGTTTGAGAGCAGCTAGGAGACAGAGAAGGAGTAAAATCACCTGGAAATCCACCCCACGCCAAGCACAAGGTATCACCAGAGGGGGCAGCCGGCAACCATACCAACCCTCAAATCGCCTACCTCCCCCTTCATCCCACACTGAAGGCCCCACAGGAAAATATGAGGGGCTCACCTGCAGGTACAAGAATGACTTACTTCTACCTCGATTGTTTCCATAACACATTCTGCTTTCAACAAGCAATCATAAAAATCTAAAATGATAAAAATTATTGCAAAAGAGGAACAAAGTTGACGAATGTATACTAGCCATTTTTGAGGTGTACGATAAATCTAGTGTAATCAAGACAGCCTGGTATTTGTTATAGACACACACAGAGACTGTAGAAACAGGTCAGCATTAACACAGGAAGCTAATGTTATACGAAGTTGCAAAGGTAGTCAATTGAATAAGGAGAAGTTTTTTCCACAAATGATAACAACTGGATGTCCATATCTCACCCTTCATACAAAAATAAGCTCAAAATGGATCAAAGCCATCAGTGTTGAACTATAAAGCATCTAGGAAAATCATTTTGTGATTTTGAGTTAGGTAAACAGTTTTTAGACCCTACCCCAAAAGTAGGATACATAAAAGAAAAATAAATTGAAAACTTTTATCTGTATCAAAATTAACTTTCAGACACTGATAGAATAAAAAGTTAAACAAAAGACTGACAGAATATATTTCAGATTGAAGACTTATATTCAGAATACATGAAGAACCCTCAAACAATAATAAAAAAAAACTACTTTTTTTTAAATAGGAAGAAGACTGAAACAGACACTTCAGAAAAGATACAGGGGTGTCATAAAACACTCAGTGCTACACAAATTAAGGACAGTGTCACTCCCCTGAGTTCTGACTAGGCTGACTCCTTGCTACACAGTAAGCTGAAGGTTTGGTTTGTCAGAGGCAGATTAGGTTTACTTTATACTTGATATCCAGAACAGTGCTCATTCATTCCAGTGTTACATCTTTAAACATAAAAATGTTCAACATTATTAATTAATTAGGGAAATTTATAATTAGGGAAATTCAAATCAAAACTACCAGGAGATACCATAGACTCTCTGAACTGAATGAATCCTGAAAACAGCAAGGGTCTGGGCCACTACAGAGCATGCACACAACCACCTCCACCTGCACAATCACTTGTGAGGTTGGAGCTTCCTAACATGCACCTATCAGGGCTCAGCAATGCCCCTTCCTGGTATTACTAACTGAAACTTGCAGCCACACACACTCACACATACAAATGTACATAAGTGTTAATAGTAGCTTTATTTATAATCCTCCAAACTGGGAACAACCCAGATTTTCTTCTGCTGGTGAATGGGTAAACAAACTAAGTATCCACACAAGAGAAGGCCACTCTGTCATTTAAGGAA